CTTTTATCCGTTCATCAGTGGACGCACATTTGGGACATTTTTCTTTTTAGATTTTTACTTGTTGTCTTTAAAGAGAAAGAAACGTTGATGGGTTGTCCCACTTCCTTGTGCATTCACAGGCTATTCTTGCATGTACCTCACGGGGGATCGAGCCGCAACCTCGCGATGTCGGGACAAAGCTCTAACCACCTGCCCATGGTCACTGCGCACAGGGCAAATGTGCGAGGGCAGGTGTCTGCTCTGTGACTGCCCCGGGAACGGCTGTGAGCGGTCCTGTGGGTGTTCCACATCTGGAGCTGCACCTGGGAGTGGGGCGCCGAGGCACCATCGGCACGGGAGCTGCCACCGCTCGTCCCGCCAGCAGTACGCCGTGTCCACTCCCCTTGCCGTCCCTGGGACCGCACTGTGGCTTCCGTCGCGTTTCCCCAATGACGTAGGATGTCCAGCACCTCTTCCTAAGCTAACTGTCCACTCGGGCCATTTATCTTCTTACCATCCGGCAGTGAGTCCGTAAACTGTCGGTGATCAGACCGATGAGCGTGTTTCCGCTCCTGAGGGTGTCCCGGGAGCTCATAGGGCTCAGTGCTCAGTCCACTCTGCCGGCTTCGCTCTGGCGGCTTGTGTTTCTGGTGTCGTAGCAAAGAAACCACGGCCAAATGCAAGTGACTTAGGTTTTCTTTGGAGAATTTTTCCGTTTCCGCTCCGACAATGACGCCCGTGGCCCGTTTCCAGGTAGTTCTGTGTCCGGGAGGATGGGTTCCCACTTCATTCTCGGTGGATGCCCAGCCATCCACGTGTTGACTGGACTGTGATTCTGTCCCCATTCAACTCCCTTGTCATCCTTGTCAAAACTCAGCTGACCATGGACGTTGGTCCCACGCTGCCCCCAGGGCCGTGTGTCTGTCCTGCACACGCAGCCCGCACGCACCTGTGCCCGCAGCACCCACGCATCTGGCTGCTGTGGCTGCACCGTGAGCTTTGGAATCAGGAAGTGTATGTCCTCGAGGTCCTCTTCTTGCTCCAGACCGTCCTGGCTCGTCTGGGTCCCTGCATTTCCACACGAACCACAGTCAGCTTGTGAGCCCAGCAGCGCGGCTCAGTGGTTGAGCATCGACCTATGAACCAGAGCTCAGGGTTCAAGTCCCCGTCAGGGCACAGGCCGGGTTGTGGGCTGGATCCCCAGTGGGGGCCGTGCAGGAGGCAGCCGGTCCACAATTCTCTCATCGTGGATGTTTCTCTCTCCCTCTCCCTCTCTCTGAAATCAATTAAAAAATACATTTAAAAAAGGAATCAGCTTGTGAATCTTTTTAAAAGGCAGCTGGAACCTCGACAGGCATCACCTGCACTGCGGTCGGGGTGGAGGGGGTGCGGCTCCAAGTCTCCTGCCGCCCGAGCGCACATCTTCGTACTGGGGCGAGCGGCCTTCCACCTCTTCCAGCAGCAGGTTGTGTGTCCAACGCTCACGTCCTGAGGGGTCTTGGTCGGCTCGTTCTCGCACGTCCCTGTCCGCGGCACCACTGCGAACGGACTGTGTGTCGGGGATGAGACACGACGACTCGGCACCACTGTGCTGGCCTTGACCCTCGGCCCCGACGGGGCTTCTGGGCGGCCCCCTGGCTCCGGTCTCAGGAGGCAGCGGAGGGGGGTCCCTCTTATTTCTCGTCTGTCGAGTGTTTACTGAGGAAACAGTGTGAGGCCTCAGCTGGGAAGGTCCCGTAACTCCGCTGTTTATTCTGTTGGTACAGGGTGTACGCTGACGGACCTCCACGGGCTGCACCAGCCTCGCATCCTGGACAAATGCCGCCCGTTGACAGTGTGCAGCCCTTCCCGCACTGGGACTTCGCCGACGAAGTCAGGTCCCCGTTCACCAGGGACGCACTCGTCTCCCGTCCTGTGATGTCTTCGTCCGGTTTGACTGTCAGGGTGATGCTGGCCTCACATGGGCTGAGAAAAATACCTCCTCTTCTATTTATTTTTAAATAAGCTTTTATTGATTCTAACGCTGTTTCCCCAGTAAAAACACTCAAACTAGAAATAGAGGAAACTTCCCGAGACCAGGAGCCGGGCAGGGCCATCCGGGTCCTCAGGTGGCGGGAGGGGCCGCACGGCCGCCGGGTGAGGTGCAGTGCAGGTGGGGGCTGCCCGGCCCGCAGCCAGGCGCGGAGTGGCACGGGCCCAGGCATCCGCGTGGCGTGTCAGGGGCTCTCTGGAGAAGGTGATCAGGGCCACACCTGGCTGCACAGTGGGGACGCTTCCCAGGCCAGGGCGATGGGCCCTCAGTATGGCCAGTGGGCGGCGTGGGCACGGACCTGCTGGGGCCTCTGCCCGGCCAGCCCACGTGGCCTCTTGCTGCCCGGCCCCAGCAGAGCTCACCTGACCGTCCGTGTTGGGGACTTTGCTGCCGATGGGAACCAGCACCTCCCGCCGCCCCCCAAGGCCCCACCTTCCATGGGGAGAGTGCCCAACACACTGGGAAGAACCACAGCCTGCAAGGCCGCTCGGTTGGGCACCTACTGTGCACTGGGTACGGCCCTGAGCCCTGGAATGCCGTGGGGGCTGGGGGACAGAGAGGCTCCTCAAGGGACAGGCACATCAGAAGACGTGCGCTCCCACCGGCCATCCCTCCCTCCCGTGCGGCTGCCTGCGTCATGTGGGGGGGCGGCTCTCACACTGGCTCCCACGACAGCATGGCTCATGCTTCCTCCATAAATGTTCTCAAACCTGTGCCCGCGAGTGCCAATCTGTCCCAGAATCAACAGAGGCTCAGCGCTGGCTTCACAAAGAAGCATAACTAAGCCACGAGGAGAGGACTGTGCCCACCGGGGTCCACGGTGAGGCCCCGAGGCTGGCACCTGGCAGCCCTCTGACACACGGCATGTTCTCCTTTTAAATTGATCCCACTCTTCGCATGAATAAAACATACAGTTCCTGTACTACGCCAAGAGGATCATTTTTGGAAAACCTCGTTGCTACATAATGCATTTTTATGTCCCTACGTTAACAAAGTGGCTCGCAGTGGTGAAAGATGCTTTAAAAATAATCAGGTTCCA